CTTCTGAGGATTCACTCCTTCATTGGATGCTAATTACAAGGCCAGTTAGCTGCTTTGTATTCAACTACTACCCATCCATAGGAGGAGATTATAATAACACACTCTAGCGAGTTATCAACCAGCATTGACGCCGTAGAGAATTCAATTATGAGGATTCACTCCTTAGAACAGGAAAATGAAATTGTCTTAGTTCGTTTAATATTAATTAGATATAGAAATAAATGATTTCACATTTTCAAAGGTTTAAATCATAGTCACTACTCGTAATAAAGTATTAGACCATGATAATAATCGTGATAATAATCTTTTGAATATGTTAAATAAAAGATATTGTTGGCTTTTTTAGCTATTAATTTTAATAAAATTTAAATCTTTAAATATTATATTGTTATGTAATTTATTTATTTATTATTCTAAATATAAAATGAAATATATATATATTATTGGCTTTTTTTAGCCATTAGTTTCAAAATTGTATTTAAAAATTTTAGATTATAAAAAATATATAATGGGCCGGCCCACTAATTAAATGGGCCGGCCCAAATACCATATATATATATATATATATATAGAGGAAGAAGTAAGTAACAAATCCTTTTCAGCGATTTTCTTAAGCCCTTACCCTGTTAGGGTTTTACCCTGGCCGAGTAAAAAACCGAAAGAAATCGGCTTTTTTTTTTTTTATCTTAATTTCCGCATTTTCACAGATTATCGAAGAAATTCACGGTTTCAATGGCGGAAGAAAAGAATTTGAACGCCGACAATAACGCTTACCATGGCGACGGTGCCATCCAAATGTACGATCAGCAGGATAAGTTTGAATTGGGGAGTGAATTGGAAGGAGGCAATGCTGATAGCACGGGAGGTGAAGTAAAGCATTCGACGAGACATTATGATTCATCGTCCAGTGGGTTAGTTTTTATGATTTTTTTTCTTTTTTCGCCGTTGGTTTGAATCTTTGTGATACCGACGTTGTGTATTGAAGAAGAACAGAGTGGGTATTGCTTCTGTGAATATGTTTATTATTTGTGGAGATTGTTCTTTGAAATCTAACTCAGTTGGAGCATAACGTTTGACCTTTTCTTATTTGCTAGCAAGCTTTTCGTTGGAGGCGTTTCTTGGGAGACCACTGAAGGTAAATTTAGTAAGCTTTTGATTGCTGTGTTGCGGCTGTACCCTACAAAGAGGATTCTTTTTGCTTTTTTGTTCGGTTCTTTATTAGTTCTGTTTTTTAATTGACGTCTTGTGATGGTAAATGGATTGTCATTCTTGAACCCTTGGTTTAGTCTCCTCCAATGTCTATTTAGGCATCAATCAACATGTTTATTTGTGCTACTGGTTGTCTCTTCTGAGTTTATTGTTCATTGTACAAGTCTTTGCAGAATATAATTGGGTTATGATTCTCGTTATTATTCTTGCTTTTATTAATGTACACCAGTTTCCTGTTTTTAGTTACCACCATATTGCTCTTGTTCATTCTTTTTTAATTCCACATTGTGCTACTCGCCTCCAAAATCTTGTATGCATGGTAAAATCAAGGTTTCATTCGAAAATTCATACCAATTTTTGTTTCCTCAGATGTGTTTAAATCATTTGATTTATGCTTTTAATTTGGCCTTTTGTTCATAGTTCAATTGGCTAAAGACTCTTTAACGTTAAAGAACCCTCGTTAGGAGGAAAAGAAAATTTGATCTTTTGTTCTCTGCTAATATGTTATTGTTTCGACGTTTTTTCCCAATTCATACTGTCATTGTCCTGTCGTACATTCTTGACAATTTTTATTATTATTATTTGGTATTCAGAGACCTTTACTTATTACTTTAGCAAGTATGGAGAAATAGCTGATTCAGTTATAATGATGGACAAACACACTGGAAGGCCACGCGGGTTTGGTTTTGTAACGTTTTGTGATCCTTCAGTTGCTGACATGGTTCTGATTAAAGACCATGTTATAGATGGCAGAACGGTAACATAAATGTCAGTTATTTTTCTAATTCAAAATTCATAATCTGGATGATGGATAATAGACTATTTTTATGTCACCATCAGGTGGAAGTGAAGAGAACAGTTCCGAGGGCTGATATGAACGATAAATTGGTATCAAGAACAAAGAAAATTTTTGTTGGTGGAATTCCACCTGCTTTGACTGAAGGTATTATGGTAGAAGTCAATATCTATTGTTTCTTTTCATGAGAATTAATATTAAATGGAAGATGCTCTGTTTGGATGTCCCATAAACATTGCAGATGCGTTTAAGGTCTACTTCTCTTCGTTTGGTACTATTACCGAACACCAAATCATGATAGACTATAAAACGAAGCGGTCTAGAGGATTTGGATTTATAACTTTTGAGAACGAAGATTCAGTTGAAAGCATATTTGCTGGAAATGAAAAACATGAGCTTGGAGGCAAGCAGGTAAATGAGAAATGGATTGAAGCATGAAAATCTGTTCTTGAGTGCTTTTTGTTTGTATGAAAAATCTCTAAGAGATTTGTTATGTAACAGGTGGAAATCAAGAAGGCTATACCAAGAAGAGTTTCTTATGATTCAAATAGTAACAATACTGCAGCACCACCTTCTTCAGGATATGGCGTGTATAAATGTGCAGGTTTATATGATGATAAAATGGGCAGACCTTTTCGTGGGTATGATGTATATGCACCCTTTGGCGGGTACGGTGGAAACTATGCCAATTTCTACGGTGCATACAGTTACGGTTTTGGTTATGGTGGCCCGATGTATATGAACGGTATCGGTAGATATGGGATGACTGGTTATGGTGTCCCCAATTGCTATGGTTGTACAATGGCTGAAAGATATCATCCATATTGGTATTGAGCAATCTTTTCCTAGATGATTTCTACTATGAAGAAAGTGATGATTGATTTTGATCAGGAGCCCAAATATCCATCCATCTTAGTAGCTGTGCAGTTCGAAATTTTTTCGGTGTAATATAATCGACGACGAACTTCTCTTAATTATTATTGTTTTTTTTTTTTTTCCTTTTTGGAGATGTGAATCGATTTGATTGACGATGGAATGATGGACGTACTTCCTCTAGGATATCATATGTTTTTGAATCTTCACAACCGTAGTTGTGATATTCTCAAATAATGAAAACATATGATGTAGAGATAATAGTAGTTTACTATCTAATTTTCCCTTAACCTCTGGGGTCAACCCACCTGAACTCACTAGGACCGATGATGGTTCGGTTTTGGTTCGAGTAAGGTTGGTTTTCAGGTTGACATATAGGCTTGCCCTCTCGACCTCTTGAGGTGATTGACATAGGTTTCTTTTTGTTTTTTTTGTTTTTTTTTTTTTTAGTTTCCTACTTGTTTGCTTTTGGTTCAATTGATTTGAGCTTTGTTGAAGCTCCAAGCATTGAGGTTTTGTGATGGTGACAATCTCTCTTCCATTATTGAAAATATAGAGACAAACCCTTTGCTTTTGAAGCTCTTGACAATTGAGTGGTCGATATGCCAAAGTTTCATTAACAAGTGTGTAATAACGTTACATTAGTCTGACCTCTCGAATAAGTTTTCGTAGCTTCTTTGGTCACTACACATAAGTACAACATATTTATTGGTTCGACACTTCAGCTTTTATATCTTTTACTACGATTGTTTATCCCGTCTTTAACAACATAATTTTATCCTTTTGAAGCTTTTAAATTTCCTCAGAGTCATTGAATTAGTTGCAAATTATCTTTGGAATTGCCTGCAAAATGTGAATTTTCTCATAAACCCACAACTAAACAATCATCATTTGCTTAAATTCCATTTTGGATGTTGAATTGAATTACTTGGATACCACATCACATCACAAAACTCTATCAAACTTTCCATAATCATATCTCAATCCATCCTAACTTTTTATAGATCCTTTATTTCGAAAAGTTGTGTTTGGTATCATCCAAGCTAATCTTTAGCACATGTTTTACGTGTGGTCCACTCACACTGACATCGACACAAGTTAACATGTTACTTCCAATGACGACTCGCTTTTTTTCATCGTGGCTTCCTTCTGGGACCTCACCAAGCTAGACCGTGGTGAGGTCCCGGAAGGAGGCCATTAGAGGGTTTTGGGGGGGATTTCACCCAATTTTTTAGATATGGATGGGAGAAGAGATGAACTAACCAATTTGACTACAAAACTCCATGGCCAAACAAGGGAGAGGATAGAGAAGAAAAATTCTCTTTTGGAGTAGAGAAGAATGTCTATAGACTCATGGTGGAGGGAGAATGAATGTCTTCTATAGTCTCATGGTGGAGGGTGAATGAAAAACAAATAGGGCGTGAATGGGGTAGCTATGAGAAAGAAATCATACTGATGTAGAAGCTAATTGAGGACGATTTATGGAGTGATAGTTACAAGAAATCATATAGTAGCTGATAATGTGTTAGGCAATTGATCAAGTTGTATTGTGTAATGTCTTAATTTAATACATCGTTCCAAATCTTTCTAAATCATTTATCTTAAGAGATAATCTAGAATTAGATTCTCTTAATTGAGGTGTTAATTTCTTTAGTTCAAGTGTTCTTATTTCCACAAAAGCTTGGATCGTTGAGTTAGAATTAATGAGTTAGAATTAAGATTACCCTATCATCAATCAGATTACAAATTCAGTTTTCACAGATGCATTTACAAATAAAGCTCAGTTCTCACAGATGCACTTACAAATAAAGCTTGGGACCATAGACAAGTGCGATATAGACGGACATCATACGTATAGTGCCTGTTATAATAATCCAACCCAGGATGTACTAAATCATGCATGCCATCAACATTCATGACATATCAGTGTATTAGCCTTTGATTCATTTATCCTCTAAGAATGAAAGAAGAATAGAGTATAGAACATAATTGAACATGGAAGAGAAAAGGGTAAACATTCACACTAGAATCAAGCAAGAATCATTTAGCTTCAAAACTTCCTAACATTTTGATGTGAAATGGGGCGATGTTACACTCGAATAAATCATAACATTATCCGTTCTGACTGCAAAAAAAATAGTAATGCATGTATTGAGTCTCAACTATATTAGCATTGAAGCACAAAAGTTCCCATCAGGCGACCGATGTAATCTTAACTTCACTAGTAGTTATGATAAAGAGGAAGAGCGACAATTGTTCATTACTTGCCTCTCGCTAGATTTGAACAAAATAGAGACAAAATCAATCTTGGAAAACCAAGAAAAGCTCAAGACCTCGGCTTCTCCTTCTTTTCCTTGAAGAGAGCCAGCAAAGATACACCCGACACTTTGACCACCTTAAATCTGACTCCAGGAATATCACCCACAGCATGTCCTTTTCTACCGAATCCAGCAATGAGAACCTCGTCCTGTTCGTGACAATACATATTATTGCATAAATAGACCAAATAATAAACAGAGGATAATAGTACCAAAATCCCAGGCTTCTATCAAGTACTTACGTTCTCTTCAATATAGTTCAAACACCCATCGTTGGGGACGAAGGCAGCAATCTTCTTCCCGTTTTTAATAAGCTGAACTCTTGCACACTTCCTAATAGCAGAGTTAGGCTGCTTAGCCTCAATACCACTGCACATTGCGCCAGAACATTTCTTGATAAAATATGTATTTAGCTACATAGCCTTGAAAGCACAGTGCAAGTAAAAAACCTCTTACATCTTTTCTAGAACAATGCCTTTTGCATGGGAAGATCCGGCAAATGGCTTCTTCCATTCATTCCCAAGATGGGATTTCTTGTAGGATTTGTCAGCCCACCTTTGCCTTCTACGGTGGGACTTCAACTTGCGCCCCGCTCCCATACCACGTGTCTTCCTGTAAGATATTGCCACTGCTTTAAAGGGGTAATACAATAGCTGATATGCATCAAAACATAGAAGAACAGAGGTTATTGTTTCCTAATACCCTGAAAGCCTCATCAATTTCCACTCTACAATTAAGGCAACTAAGTAATAAAACGATTAGGAAGTTTGAGAATTATTGACATCTAAAACAAACATATCACAATTAGATCTGTGACATCCAAACAATCCTAGATTCACATCAATCGCATTTATGCCTTTCACTAAGTCATAATAACTCATACCATCAAGAACGCTTGTATTAAGCTACGCCAACTTTTTCAGGGTGGTAGAGAGATTGTTTTGGAGTTGAACAGGAAAAATCCAACTATTGAGGTAAAACTTCGTTAAATCAAAATAGAATCAGAGCCACCAACTTATTCACATCAAAGTTAGGTGCATTGTCATATCCTAATACCTTAGATAGCTACAACGACTGTCCTTCCCCAGTCTAGAAACGATAATAACAAAACAATGCGGAACTTTAGAGTGAGAAACGAAATAAATCGACGATTATCGAACACAAAATTAACAAGATCACGTTACTTGATAAAACCTACGACAATAACAAAAATTTACTTCGACTTAAGAGCACAGCAACCATGCAGCACAACTCATCAACAAATTCATCATCCACGAAAACTAACCATTTCTGTATGCATAGCAACGTTTAATTTTCAACTTTTCAGATGTATATGGTCCAGTAAAACCATGCAAATCCGATTAAACTAACTACTTCCTCGCCCAGAACATTCATCGTCTCAATAAACAATTGCGAGCAACAAACTAGAAAAACGGAAAGAGGACTCACCCCATGGTGCGTGTGAGAAAATGATCTCCAAATGCGAGATTGAGGCAGCAGAGTTCCGGAAGCGATAGAGACGAAGATGACTTCGATGTCGCCGCCGCACCGTATATCAATGAAGCCCTAGACTGTTTGGCCTTCCTTTATACTGTAGGGTTCCTTGCTACAAATTTGCCACGTCCGCATGCCCTAATTTAAAAGGTTCTCTCTATAGAAAAGAATATATATATATATATATATATATACTTATTTACTGTAATTTTTTAACACGTAATCTTAAGAAAATGAAAATAAATATTTATTTAGATTTTAAAAATTCATATATATTATTTTTGAATTAAATGTTTTAAATGAATAAATATTTTAAAGGTGTTCGAAAAAAAAATCGAAAAATCCTTATTTAAATTGAATTGGAAAAGTTTATTGATTTTATTATATTTATAAAACTATATTTGAACTAACAAGTTACAATTATATATAAATATATTAAATTTATTTATATCTAATTTAATAATTATTTTTTTATTATTCATTCTCAAACAAAAAAATTTAATAATTGAATTTTAATCCACAATATTTGTTTATTGTCTAGACTAGTAAAGGCCCATTATATGAGTGATATGGGCCAAAGCCCATCAATACCAAAAGCCCAATTTGTGTTTGGATCCAAATTGGAGAACCCAAAATGAAATAAAATAGTTTCAACACGTGTTTTAGATTGGGTTGGCGATTCGAGTAGCCCGAATAAAGTTCAAAACTCAACCTTTGTAGTTCCCAGTATTCCAAATGGCAACTCGAGTAATCCGATAAAAAATGTCAACCAGTGAACGGACTCAAATTTTTTGTTTTAAAAAAAATTCAACCCAACTCAAGGTTTGTAGTTCGGTTTAGGCTATTTGAATGGGTCGAATTTTTGAATCATTTACGATTGAAAATAATAAGAAATAAATTCTAATATTTATTAATTTAGAAACTAAATTTTAAATTCTACTGAAAAAAAAAAAAAAGAATAACCAAAAAAGAAATGAAGGCGTAGGAGAAGGTGATTGGGTAAAATAGGGGGCCCACGTCAGCAGGTGTCGAAAGGAATTATGCCGCCCCCTTCCCTCTCGGGTCAGGCACCGTGAAGGAGTCAGCTTGTGGCAGACCAGTAACAAAATGACACGTGAGACTGCCAGGTCAAGTACGGTTTCCCTGACAGGTCACTCTCACGAGCATGGATGTAGAACACCGTGTAAATTAAAACAAANTATCTCTGACAAATTAAAAAAAAATAATTTAAAATTTTATGTATAGTAAAAATAAGAATAGAATAAATAAATAAAGTAGCGTGCTCCTGAAAGCCATCATTGGCCGTTGACTCACTAAGTTTGTGATTACCCCAGACATTTTCCACCGTTTGATTAGCCCCTGTCCCCACCCTCTTGTCCCCCCCTCTCTCTCTTCCATTTCTATTTTAATTATTTTGAATTAAAATTTTGTCCAAGAATTAATTATATTATTGTTAAAATGTAAATAAAATAAATAAAAAGATTTATATTGAACAATCATTCAGTGTGGGACCCTGGACTTCTCTTATGGCTTCTCGTGAAGCCTCTCTCAGTGCTTGTGATTCAGATTTTTATCATTACCCTCTCTCTTCCGGTCACCTCCCATCCAAATCAGGGCGAGCTTTTTTATTCTCACCCGTGCTAACACCTTCACCCAATCTCCTCCAATCAAATCACCACAACTCCAAAATTAATAGAAAATATTACTGTAAAATCTACCTTTTAAAACTAAATTTCTAATCAATTTCATATAATCAATTTCTTTTCATATAATCATAAATTCGTATCCGTGGTTTCCTCGAATGTCACAAACGTCAATTTCTTAAAATGTATGGTCGGAAATAAACGGAAAGTCGACCACTTTGTAGTTGGGTTGAAAATAAGGTTATATAATTCAACCGAACTCTACCCTGCTTTTATCATTTAAATCTTTAAATTTTATGAAATTTTAGCTATTAATATATCGTAGATAAATAGAATTAAATAGCTTTTAAAAAAAGAATAAATTAATAATCTGAAGCTGAATTGTAAACTCTATATAGTTGCTTTAGCTCCAGTCACCCAAAATATTTCCGAATCTAACGTTAATACTTTTACTTTAAACTTTCACTTTCCGTAAAAAAGTGATTAAATTTTTAATCTTTTGAGGTATATTTAGGTCGAGAATATTATATTAACATTAAAAATTATTAATAAATAAATACATGTATATTTAAAAAATAAAATAAAAATAAATAACAAAACAAAGGAAAAGACAGAAACTGCAGCGTTCCTAATGTGTGTGTTTTTTTTTTTTTTTTTTTTTTTTTTTTTTTTTGGGGTATCTGAGAGTTTATC